TGATTGGCTTTCCAGAATTTCCCATTTTGATACCCAATATGCCTAGAAAACAAGCACCGCTGAGCTTCTCTCCTTTCCTCATCTGCAAGGCAGGTTTGCTCTATGCATTGGCAAGAAATTCTCAGACTCCTCAAGGAGATAAAGAATGACTGTGAGAAAAATGAGGTTTAAACTTTGGACCCCTCATTGTGGCAGCCCCTCCCAAGATTCCACAAGAGACCTTAATGCTTCCACACTATCATATGTTTCCTCACAATTTGCCAAAAATAAGGTATTTTCATGCAATCTGTGACGACCATGTCTTAGCACCACTGGTCTTTTCACACTTTTCTGCAGAGGCCTTGGATATATTGTGTTTGGGACAAGGGCATGTTGGTTATAATAACTCCATTCTAATTGTACTTTCAAAGACAGTGTGGAATGTTTCAATAAGCAAGTGAGAAATGACAAACTCTAGATGTGGATATACCTGTCTATTTTTTTGCTATTTGAAAATATAATTACCAAATGAACTGAAAGAACATTCAAATTCATGAGTGAAATAGGAAAAAGTCACCAAAATGAGTGATAAAATAATAGAAGTTAATCTGATATGAAGAAGCTTATCAGATCATATCCAAAAGAGCAATTCATTAAGAAGAAAAAATAAGCTTGAATGGAAGTAATTAGCAACTTTTGGATTGATAAATAATCCAATCAAAAGGAACTATTTCAGCAAAGTGGGAAAAGATGTAAATTTCTTACTGACATGACAAGAAAAACTGACAGAAGAAGATTATTTTAAAAGCTCATCATATACTACAACTAATATAAGGACATCAGTAATGAAGTATTTAAAGAGTATACTCAATTCAAAGAGCATTAATAGTAAGATAAATCACTGAACAAAAACTTAGAACTTACAGCTTATATATGACAGTAGTTTTTAAAAATGTAACTATAATACTAAAATAATCATTTGATTTTCTAAGTATCAAGTTATGAAGTTACAAGAAACTCTTCTAAACTATCCCCCCGCCCCCAAAAAAAAACTTGCACGTTTTAATTAACCCATTTAAAGGAAATTGCTGAATCTCTTTCTAACCTCTTGATGGAAAATATTGTAAAATCAATGTTATATCTGGGGGAATAAGAAAGAGTAAAAAAAGTTAGGAAAAAATATTACATGTTTTCAGTTAATTATTAATAAAAACATGTAACATTTGTATTCTGTTGCATTTGTCAACTTTCGAAAATTTGTGATTTGTATTCTCATTCTAAATGCATATTTGTAGTTGGCCTCTCCAAGACTAAAATTTAGGGCTAAGTAGAATTAGACTCTCACGACCCCTTTTTCTCTCATTCCCATACCCTCTCCATGTGATTGACCTATAACTAGAAACTAATGTTTTTCTCTCAAATTGCATTCCTGGGAATTTGGAAAATTATTTTTATATCTCTAAAAAAAATTCACTGGAGGTTGATAGTAACATCAAAACAAACATCTACTGACTGTTGCTGACAGCCGTGAAAAAACTCCCTGCTGAGAAAGCCAAATTGATTCAAGACAAGACTGCCCTGCACTCTTGGACCTGGAAATGGGAACTCTCCCAACCCCGTCATGTGCCACACCCCATCAGTTCTCTCCCCCGCCCCATATAATCATAGCACTCCTGCCTTTTGTGGAGCCAACTTTTAGGGTGCCAGACATGTCAACTCCCTTGGAGACTACCTCAATAAAAACTCCTTTGTGAAAAGCCATTCTTGTGCTTCAGAATTTGGCTTTCTGGGTAGTGAGCAAAACAACACTTGGTTTGGTCATTTACATATTCACTTTCACACCTATTTCTTATTTGGAAATTTTCTTTAAAAGTCTCATTTTTTCGAAAAATACCTGATGGTCTCACTCATAGCAGGAATCTAGAAAACTTAAATAAGGGACCAGGAAAATGAATAACTATAAGAAAGTGAAAATCAAAATCAAACAAAAACTATGAACCAGAGACACTCTATGGGGGGTGGGAGGTGGGGAGGGGAGGGATTGGGGTCAAAATAAGGGGGTTGCAATTGTATGGGGAATATAAAAATAAATTTATTTAAAAAAAAGTCTCATTTTTCACCTCCCTGTAGTATAAACTTCAGTGCCTTCAAAACCAGTGGATTGAAAAAAGCAAACTTTCACATAGAGATTTGTGTGCTTGTCCCTGATCCTAACCAAGCATTTATCCAAATTGTGCAGAAGGTAAGGAAGGTAGTAGAAAGATTTATTTTAGACTCAGGGAAACACTGTATGAACTTCACTGTGCTGGATGCCTTGCAGTTGGGATACTGACCAACTGGCCATATCCAGGAAGTTCCAAGGATTGCTGCCTGGGTTTGATTAAGTTTTCAGAGTACTTCACAGGACTCAGAAAAATATTTTACTTACGAAAATGCCAGTTTTTAATAAAATTATATAACTCAGGAATAGCCAGATGGAGGAGATACTTCAAGCACAGTTTGGGGAAAGTTTAAGGAATTTCCACATCTTCTCAGTGCACCCAAATCGCCCAGTAATCCCTCGTGTTTCCACGAGGGAACTCTCTGGAAACTCTCTGAGTTCTGTGCTTTTGGGTTTTTAGGAACTTTTCATTACATGGAAAGAATAGATTGATTAATTAGAAACCATTGGTGATTGAACTCAATCTACAGCTTCTGTCTTTTCCTGGGAGGAATATGGGTGCCACTGAATGTTTCAGGCCTCTAATCCCTGAGTGTTGGCTTCATCAGCTACCATTCCACATCCCCAGGTGACCTATGGAATTTATACTCTATTGACATAACAAAAGACACTTTTATTTCTCTAAACACTGGAAATTCCAGGACTTAAAAAGCTTTGTGCTAGGATATGGGGTTGAAGACCAAATATTTCTTTTTTTTTTTTTAATGACAACTTTTTTTTTTTTTTAAGATTTATTTATTTATTTATACAAGCACTGGTACAGTCAGAAGCTCAGGAGGGCAAGAGAATTCACCAGAGCCAGAGCGGGGAGCAGAGCAGGCAGAAGGACCGAAGTATACTGCTGAGGGGAGCAGTGGGCGGCAGGAGAGGTCTGCGCGCCATATGGGACCCTCCTCCGTGAGCCTGGGAGGAACCGGGGATTGAACCGGTGCTGCAGAGGCTGTGGGCAGCTTCGCAACCGAGCACTCAACTGCTGCGCCACCGGGGAGGCCGAGACCAAATATTTCTTATTGTAAATCACATTATCACACTGAGCAATTAAACTTGATTGTTTCAATATTAAAACAGGTGCATTGTTATGATGGGACTTTATTCAAATTTAAGTACTAACATAGCAATTGCATTAGTTTAAAGTTAGATTGTAACAATAACATGCAATGAGCTTATTGAAGAATCTTTATACCTGTGAAATAAAAAAAATACTTTTTGCCAAACAATTTTTTCACCCATGATTTGTTGAATTTCCCCTTTGCAGTCTTGTTGCTTATGTTTATTGAAATGAAATCCAGTTCTATTTAAAACTGTGCTCTTTACATTTGATTCAAAAATCTTCTTCTCCAGACTATAAAAGCTATATTATCCCAAGTATAGTTCATAGATATTCTGATTCACACGTAGTTTGCTTCTATTGGCCAGAAGCAAAATAACTGAGAATAAACATTAAGAAGCTTATTTAGTTATTATCTGACATTAATGTAACATCCAAGTTCATCCAAGCCCCTCCCTAAATTCTATTTATTTATTTATTTATTTATTTAATTTATTTTGCATAGAACTGGGGTGTACGTCAGAGGTGTGGGGGTGAGAGGATTCACCCCAGAGACAGAGTGGGGAGCAGAACAGGTCCCAGTCACTAGACCACCACAGGTTGCTGTCTCAAGAAGCCATAGCAGGGACTCCGCAGACCCTCAGGCAAGCAAGCGCGAAGAGGCAGATTTATTTAGAAAAAGAAAAAGTTTACTGAAAAGAAAAGGAACAGAAATAAAGTGGGATTCCCTGGAAATGGAACCAGGCCTCCTCGGAGGGGCAAGTGAGCGTGTCTCAGGGAATATGTATCTTCTTTCCCTAATTGTTCTAAAGCTCCACCAGTCTCTTTGTGATTGGTTAGTTCTCGGTGGTCTTACTCACTGCCTAAAAGACTCTGTGCCCAGAACTAAGTCTCAGTGTCCCAGCCCTTATCTTTTATCTTTACTGTCCTTATCCAGGAATGTCCTGTTGCCCCTAGTCCTGGGGTGTTTAATTAGCCCCCTTAGGAATTTGTTGCCTTTATCTCTGGAACCTTCCTTA